TATATATATATATAGTTTATTAAATAACATAATACATTTATCGTTCTTTTTGGCCAAGAACCTTGCTCCCGCACGCAATTGCCTTCCCTCTTTTCTTCTATCAAGGCAGTCCTTTCTTAACCCACGACTCGACTGTATTCTTGCTCTCCACTTCATACTGACGCTTGCGCCTTTCTTCATGCTATCATCTGCACCGCAAGATTAGGGCTTGGTTGCCTTCCTCCTATCTCGTCTTGCCTTCTTGAAGCTTGACGACGTCACAAGTTCGTCTTAACATCTCCTCCCTCTGCATCCTCTTCTCTTTAGCACTCCCTCTGCTTAACTCCTATGTAAGCCGATTTCACCTTTGCCTCCCTCAAGTGCTTCTCTTTATCGAGTGAAACTAACTTTCAGTTTTCGATCTCATTTGTCATTTCCTAAACCCCCACCCCGTCTGACCCCCTGTTTCGGCCATTCATGAACATGTTAAGTAACCACTATAAAGATAAATGCTCGATACAGGGTGACTCAACTATACTTTAGATAACAATACCAAAACAAGAGAGTATGTTAGGAAAATTCCTCTACATATAAGAAAAATGCCAAACTCATCAGACTTCTTCATCAATAGTAGTAGGCTCTTCAGGTTCCCTATGAGTAAGGGAATATACTTGAGGTCGAACTAATTGCCTTGGTTGACCTTGTGTAACATTTGAAATTGTAGACTACATTGTTTTGTTGTCTGCGGACTCTTTGAAGGAGTTCCTAAACCCTAAACCCTAATTTATGATCTTCAACGCTCTTGACAAAAAGATGGACAAATTCTTGTTATATGACCAGGCTGAGAAGACTAATAAGTGTCGAAGTTCATCAAACTTTCTAGCTTATGTTGTTCATATTTGGCACAAATAACTATTGTACCCTTCATCGTACCTTTGTTAACTCTACGTAAATTGTTCTTAGACTTTTTTCCATTAGATAATTCCGAGTGATCTACATGTTCACCTTCATCATTATTCTTCCTCTTGTGCATTTTCTTACGCTTCTCAGTAAGCTGATAGTCGATCTCCATTCTTTTAGCTCATTCCACTAGTAGCGAATATTCATCGACCCCTAATAGTACCGACGACTGTCTAATGGAATTCATTAATCTTAAAAAACTCAAAAAAGAAACTGTAGCACTTTTCGTATGCAATATCGATCAATTGTAACACATATCTCGACTGTGTGGTGAAATCTATTTTGTACTGCATGACTATCTTCTCTCCTTGCCTCAACTTGATGAACATTTCATGCATCTGTCGTTGAATAAATAGGGGTACAAACCACTCTAAAAAGTTCCAAGAATTCCTCCTAACATAACATCATATTGCATATGTACCCTAACTGTCTTGACGCCGCCCACCCTCTCCTTTCAACTTCTCTATACAACACAACTGTCATCAACAATATTGTTCTTTCAATCGGACAAATCATCTTATATAGTCTTCTATGTATTTATTAGCCAGTTATCTGCTTCAATTAGGTATTCAGTTCCCTTGAACAAAGTTGGAAGCAGATATTGAAATATATTCTTGTACTTATTTACAACAATCATACTACTCCCGGTAGGCTGCGATATGGACTCCTCAGTCAGTTGAGACATCGCCTCCATCATTTGGGTCAGGACATTTGCGTCACATTTATAGTACGCTGCACTTCTTCGTTTGTTATCATATTCTCTTCTTCTATAACCTCGGTTATATCACTATGCCTGATTGTATATAATTATTAATTTGAGTTGACTTTAACTTTTTTTTTATTAAAATTTTTTATAATTATCATATTTACTCTTTATCAAGATTCAATTAACTAATCATAAATGATCTATGATATCACTTTTGTCATGACCCCGCTTAAGACCGGGAATTAACTAAAGCAGGAACAGACAATCAGACGATGAGAACTAAATCTTTTATATTGGTCAACAAATTAATAGATTAAAGACCCACTAATCAAAATAAATTAAATCAATAAATTTGAAATTATCTTGTCATTGGCTGCCCGCGCCTTGTATACATGTTTTCTCTTATATTACTCAGTTTTTAAATCACTTAATTAAATCTTAAAAAATCATTTAAAAACAATAGTAGGCTAAACAATTATAGTGAATACTGGTTCTTATAAATCACAGTAATATAAGAGAAAATGAAATAATATGCACGTCAATTAGGCTTTTAATAAATCAATAACAAATTTTGATGTTATTTAAAGAAGTTTACTATATCAATATCATTATATATCTGTATAACTATCAGAAAATCATCATTTATAAATTATGTCAATTAAGACATATTAATATCAATATTTTTTTCTATATATGAGCACGTGTACCATTAATGTGCGACTTCATTATAGTCTGTCATACACGTACATCATCAATATTTAATTCTCGACTTAAGTTTGAGCTTAAGCTTGATTAATTTTATCGAGTCCGAGCCTAAGTTTATGAGTCTGAACCGACACATAAGCCAGCTTGTTATTGTAAAAGAGAGACCATAATATTAACTAAAAACAGTGTTATAAGAAATAATAAATAAAATGTGCAATTATGAGAGAAATAATTATAAATTACTTAGAATAAAAAATAAAAATTTAGTTTTTAAGCATTTTTAATACTTTAAAAATAAAATTGTAAATTTAATATATTTTGAGTATATTTTATATTAACATGTTTTAAACAAGCTGACTCAAGAGTTAAAAAGTAGAGTGAGTGCTTGCCTGAGCTAGGCTTAAGTTCAGTTCATGAGCCAGTTGAACTCATGCTGGCTCACGGGTCTGCTCGACTCAATCATGTCTAAACCCGACCCGACCCGGCCCGGCCCGTTTACTGCTTAGTGCGATCGTCTCGTTCGGATCTCTAAAAAAAAGCCGGGACGTCACTTGGTTCGCAAGGTTTAGGGCGTTCAGGGAAAGTGAGCGGATCTGGGAAGAGGGAAAACCTCTGCGCAAAGCTGAAGAAAGGTTTATAGCTCGGCTAGATGGATCCACAGTTGGTGGAAGTTACGCAGATCTTTGGACGATTCAAAGCGGCGATGCTGAGGAACGATTTCGGAACCTGCGCCAATCTTCTCTCCCAGCTGAAGGTATTTTCTCTCTTCTGGAAAACTTCAGCTCTACGCCGGTTTAATTTTTTCTGCGGTTTAAGGGTTATTGAACCAATGGATAATTAGACCCGTCTATTTTGGAAGGCTTAATATTCTAGTGACAGAGCATCCGTAGGCTTTGGATGGATTTGTTTGAAGGAAGTGCTATGTGAATTGCTAGCTAAGTTCATGTAGTTCTGAGTTTGCTGCTGTTGAGTTACTCACGAGTGCAGTGACTGATGGTTTATTTCTTTTACGGCCAGTTTAGATATCGTTCTGCCAACATGAATAGCTGACAGTATAGCTTGATCGATTTGTGCTTTCAATTATATATTCTAAGCGTTTTGAAAATTTAACCATTGGTTCCTACTGATTTCATGGTAAGGATATTCATCTATAAAGGCTTTGTTCATACCTATTTAGCTATTTATTATGTTATACTTATAATACAATCTTCAAATTATCTGTTGTAGAATTTAGTTGTTTATTTCCCAGTTAAATGTAAATTGGCTCAAAAAATATATAAATAAATAAGTAACACATTGATCTAATGTTCCTTATATGCTTCAAAAGTTATTATTATAAAAATGTGATTTTGCATATTAAAAATTTATCTTCTTGTCTTTATATCCTCATCATGTGTTCAACATTCCCACACCATGCAGTTATAGTTTTAGTCAAGTTGTTGGCTATTGTTACTGCTCACATACTTGTTCTTATGCAATCATTCAAATGGTCTTCCCTAGTTCTCAATAACTTCTCCTTGTTGCCTTTATATTTTCTATATTCAGCTAACTTCTATGAAGTACTCCCCTAACTTATGCAATCAACTTGCTTTATTACTCCTCTACAAACTTTTCAGTGGGATAGTATAATTTCTACATATTAATAAGCTTGTGTTTTTCTCGTGGGCGATTGTATATTCTAACACATCATTTTGGACATGCCATGTGGCATATTATTTTTCTAAAAGATTCTAGTTTTTTTTGGACACATTTGGGCTTAGTGTGGACATGTTTTGGAAACAAATCAAATACAATACACGCCATTATAACTCGGTTATATGCCAAAGAAATAAAATTTTGATTCTTACCCACATTCTTATTTATTACCATCTTTTAATATTGTTGTAGCATGATGTTTTTCTATTTATGATTTTTGCATATATATTATTAAAAGTATTTTTTTTTTCTTTTGAGTTTAATTATATTGCATATTGTTCTTAAACATGCTCTTACACGCCCACATTTTCATGTGTTATGGGCACTTGTTGTCCCATATTTTTAAAGATTTCCGATGTCATCATGTTTGTCTTATGTTGCATTCTTATTCTATGTGAGCAAGCGTGCTTGACAATCGCTATCAGGTATCAAGAAGCACCTCAAAGCATTTTTTGGTTATGCCTGTGATGCAACTTTATTTTTTGTTCTCTTGTGTAGTGGACCTTTGTTTTTTGGTGCTTGAACATATTTGCATTCAAGTAACCCACACGGTTATCATAATATTGAGTGATCATCTTAATTTCTAGTCTCTATTTTGTCTTTAAATGTTCCGTTCTAAAAATTCATGGGTCATATTTTCTAGAGCTGGTTTTTGACAAACCTCAATGTTGTTCAAGTAATTTACTTCATTGAAAATATTTTTATTTTCTATCTGGAGAAGCAAGTATACACATGCTCTATCTATCTATCTATTTTTCTATTTATCTATCTACGTACTAACGGTGACTATTCTTTGTAATTTTTTAGGTTCTTCTGACAAAATTTCCAAGCCTACCACCATCATTTCAGCAATCAGCTAATGCTGTTGAGGAGCTGCAGATAGCAAGTAGAATACATAACTGATAATGACTGTTTAATTTTTTTGAGTTACTAAATGGTTTGTTTTTGTGATATATGTCACAATTAGTTTGTAATATTGTTTGAAAAATAGTGTTATTATTCTGTATATATATTTTTGAGTAGCTGACATATTAAACCACTTTAATCATCTGATTGAGAATCCAAGTTCCTTGTGATTTGTTCAATTGAAATTCTTTGGATGGATGATGTGCTTTCTTTAATAACGTGAGCATTTACTGCCCCTCAACTAACTATTTTTGTGTGGAAAATAGATAGTTCTTATGCATGTAAGAATTATTTAATCTTGGATAATAATTGATAGTGATGAACATATTATTCATGAGTGACCCGGTATGTATTTCTTAAATTTCAACTGTATCTAAATTTTTTCTTCCTTGGCATGAATTAGGCTTATAATCGGAGTAATTTCATTAACATTTTCTTGAATGGAATGCTTAGCTTTGTTGATATAGCTGTATTGATATTGTACCTTTCTTATGTTACATTAATTTTTCTTTAAACTATCAATTTTTTTGAGTTACTAAATGGTTTGTTTTTGTGATATATGTCACAATTAGTTTGTAATATTGTTTGAAAAATGGTTTTATTATTCTGTATATATATTTTTGAGTAGCTGACATATTAAACCACTTTAATCATCTGATTGAAAATCCGAGTTCCTTGTGATTTGTTCAGTTGAAATTCTTTGGATGGATGATGTGCTTTCTTTAATAACGTGAGCATTTACTGCCCCTCAACTAACTATTTTTGTGTGGAAAATAGATAGTTCTTATGCATGTTAGAATTAGTTAATCTTGGATAATAATTGATAGTGATGAGCATATTATTCATGAGTGACCCGGTATGCCTTTCTTAAATTTCAACTGTATCTGAATTTTTTCTTCTTTGGCATGAATTGGGCTTATAATCAGAGTAATTTCATTAACATTTTCTTGAATGGAATGCTTAGCTTTGTTGATATAGCTGTATTGATATTGTACCTTTCTTATGTTACATTAATTTTTCTTTAAACTATCATGTAGAGATATGGGATGCTCTATAATTCCACATGCTCATAAGATGATATATAAGATCCGTGTGCAAAATGTGGAATATCTAAACCATATTTCTTATGTACTAAAAATTTTTCAGAAAATTAAGAAATAAGGGAAACTAGTTGAAGCCATAACGGTTGCAAGGATTCTGAATGATTGGAAATCATTTTGGTACTATTATTTGAGGATAATGTAGACATTTTGAAATGTTGTCAGAACATGGGAATCACAATTTCGAGTCATAAAATAAGCAGGAGACAAGTCAAACTGGATGAAGCCATAAAGATTGAAGGAATTTAAATGATTGAAAAACATTTTCGTGCTAGTATTTGAGGATAATGTAGATGTTTTAGAATTCAGCAATAGTATGGGAATCAACTTTTAGGAGTTATAGAATGAGGTTATAAAAGAGGGCAATGAAACATAGGCTTAAAGAAGTTTAATTGTCGTGAAAGAATTAATTTAGTTTTATGCCAAGATGATTCATTATAAGGGTGAATTTATGTCAAGTAAATTAATGAAAAAAAACTACAAGAAACTATTTTCATGTAGTGTTTGTTATCTTTGAGAAGACAAATGAAAGAAAACTATGATAAGATTACTAAAGATATTTATGACAGGCCACTGACTAGTTTTAAAAGTATTTGTGGAGTGATTAAAAACTTGCAATCTATTAGGATTATATTAAGGATCAACATTAAATTTTCATTTTTTTATATTAGTTATATAAATGCTTACAAAAGATATTCAAAATGAGGTACCTTAGTGAATGATGTTAGTAATCAATATTATTGTCTTAACAGGTATGTTTTCTATTGAGTTAATTGGAAGGTTGGAACTTTAGAGGGAAAATTCAGAAGAGTGGGGCATAGAACTACTTGAGCAAAGATTTGGTCAATGATATGCAATTTAGTAGGTTTAAAATTGAGAATTACAAGTTCATATTATTTTAAGATCAAGTGATAGCTAGATGTGATAGATTTGAAAATAACCCGAGAAATGATAATATTTGAGGGATGAACGAATAACTTCTATTGATGATAATGAAAAGTAGACTTGTGTGGTTTAGACGTCTACAATAAATGGTAGAGAAGGCATCAGTAAAAATATTAAATAAAATTAATATTAATGTATTAGGAACTGAAAGGAGTATATTAAAGATGGCATGGATAGAAATTGTAGAGATCTAACACTTCATTCAACATTGCATTGAATGAATGGAGAATAAAGATTCATAAAGTTAATATGAAGTAGTTTAGAGAAGGCTAATAATGATGATGGTGATGGTGTGATGGCTCTAATATATAGAAGAATCATGTTATATATGAGAATATAAGTTCCTAGAGGTAGGGTTGATAGTTAAAATTGAGAAGTGCCTATCGAGTACAATAAAGCAGGAGATAATATCATGGAGAGTAAAAGGTAATCTTAATTTTGTGAGTTATGATTTTATTAATTGTGTTATATGCATCTTATTGTTGGAGAATAATGAAGTTACCGATTGCCTATTGAGTTTGAATGAAACTGGAATATGATGTCATACAAAATTAGGATGACTTAATTGAGAAATGATTATATTAGAGTGATTTCGAGTGTAGTTTCTATTGATCATATGATAGAGTACAACAGACTAAGATAATGTGGGCATGTGTGATAGAAGTGTACAATAAGATTGGTATTAAAATTACTATGGAAGATGTACGGATAAAAATAATTGACCGATTATAACATGAGTAGAAGTTGTGTAAAAATATTTTCTTAAACTAACACCTCAAGCAAAACATACAAGTATTAATGAAGAGTGGGGATTCATGAAGCTAAACCAGATAGTTTGGACATGAGTTTTAACATGGTTAAAATACTAATATTTGTCATGTTTGCAGAATTTTGGTGGTCCTTTTATCAAATTCGTATTTGATAAATTGTGCTCGTATCACTCCTGCATAAACCTTCTACATTCATTTAGGAGTTGCTTATTTGGATGTTTGCAAAATGCATATATTTTAGAAATACTAAATAATTAGAATGCATGTATTTTTGAAAACTTGGACTACTTTGGTTAGATGTAAATCAATTGCATTTAAATACCATTTGTATTAGTTAAGACACAATGCAAATTACTTTTTTCTCTTCTTGTATCTCTTATCTATAAACTCGAGGTGCTGATGAGCTAGGCAATGGGCAACTGGGACAAGGGTGGGCTCAGGCGAGGTTGAGATGGATGATTTAGTGCGGGATTTCCAAATGAGGGGAACAAAGAAGGGGTTGGGGATATTTCAAATGCTTCAAAATTTTAATTTGAATTTTTTTTCCTTCAAACCAAAAAACTAAAAAAGTTGAAATGCAGGGAAATAAAGTGCAATGTACTAATGATACTTCCGACCAAGTATTCCTCAGTCATTTCAATTTCCTAGGCTTCATCAAAACTATTCAATAATAACTATTATTTGATACTATGCCCCATTATTTATTTTAAGGTTTCAATTGCTTTGTTGAATTATACTACTATTCAATGTTCCATTCATTGCCTTTGCCATGTGCATGAATATTACCTATATTTGAAGGAAGTCTAAAAGTTTATGTTGTAACTTCTTCAATCGGTTATCTGTTCAATTCATTTTTTTTGCAAGTTGGAATTGCAGTGATATGACAAGAAAGCTACTGCCTCTTAATACATTAAAAATTCCATGTTCCTAGAACCTCTGTAAATTCAGCTGCTTAATCTTACGGTTATTAGTCTGCTTGAGTTCGAAATCATGTTTAAAAAAAGAGTTAAGTCTATTATTTGGTTGAATGTAGCGAGTCTTCAGCTTTCATTTCAAATTACACAAACCTTCTCTAAACTCCTTATAAATAATGATTTCCTTTTTTACACTCTAAATGAGTGAAATTTAAATTGTCTTCTAAAGCTTGTTTTTGATTTGGGTAATCAAGTGATTCTGTTTTGCTTTTATTTTTGATATCCTTGATTTATTTTTCGTTTGAAATTGTAATGTGATGATTTTTTTACAATTTCTTATTAATGTATGGGAATGTAAGCAGACATTAGAGCAATGCATATTGCGACATTCCAACGCAAGCCATACAACAACTATATTATGCTAAACAATTAAGAATTCATGTGAATGGAGAGGCTTGCCATGAAACATAAATTTGTCCCTTAAATAGTAATGACTTCACCACATAGTGACTTGTTTACTCCTAAGCAGGTTATATTGATCAGAAAGGATGTTTCTCGTGTCTGCAAACAAAAGATCCAGAAGGTCAAGTTAAAATTCATAGTCTGATTTGATATGCTTGCAGCGTAGTAATTTTTAAGATCAAATTCAGATAACTGTCAATGATACCTCCCTCTAATCCACAAGCAAAGTTCCTTCTTATTGAGTTTCTACATTATAGTTATTAAGGTTTCTTCGCCGATGAGTTGATTTTTTGAGATAGCCCTGAAAATCTTATACATGAAGAAATATGAGGATGATGTTTTACAACCTATTGAGGAAATCTTTCTTGTAACCTAGTTAGTCTAGGGCTTTGATATCCACCTCTACACCCTCATATTGATTTTATCTCAATAGGCTAGGTGTTTTAATTTCTGCTAACTGCTCTTGATTTTTTATATACACCATAATTCTATAAAAGAACCCACAGTTTTATGTCCTGTTGTGTGCGGGGTTCCATATCTGCATAACAAAGTGCTATTTACTAATTTTTAATCAATGACTAATGTTTTTTTTTTAAATTTATTTTAGGGGATATATATGAACATGCTGTTGTTTTGAGTGTAAAGACTGAGGACCAAGATGCTTTTGAGAGGGATTTCTTTCAACTGAAGCCTTTTTATACTGACACATGGTGAGATTCTTGTTTCTGAAATTGGCTAAAAGATATTGTGGGGGTTGTTCTTTGATATTTTTGAAAGCCATCATGAGAATTGCAGAAGCAAATCTCTCAATTAAATTCATCAAAACGTTTTATGATCATGCTTAGTCTATATGCATTTCTTGCATTCTTGTATTTTGGTTTTCATTTCTTATAGTATTTCAGTCCTCGAAAGAAGTTTGATGATCTTCATATTTAGCTGGTTCTTATTTACAGTATTTTTTCATTCATTTTTTAAACCTTAATTGTCTGTCTACATGCTATTGAATTTGTTAAGTAAAAGCTTTTTACCATCAAATGTGGTTTGATTAGAAGTAGGATTTAATTCAAATGGGATTTAGTAATGTATGTAAATTTCAAGATTTGTGAGAGAGAGAATTAATTCTTGAATCACTTAAATTTCATGAATGATGAGTTTTGGCAAACCTAGCATACTTATTTAGTTAAATAATTTTGACAAGTGCTAAACATAGATTTTCATTTCTTATTGTAATAATTAATTTATATTTATCTGATTGTATGATAAATGCATATTCTACTATGTGGTGTTAATACATTTTTACATGCATTGTAGAATTTGCAATAAAAGACAATTATTCTTAATATTTTTTTTAATTCATTTATTATTTTTAATTTTACGATATAAAAATAATAATAAGATGTTCAACGTGTATTTGTGTCTTATATTTTTAATAATAAAAAAATCTCTCACGCTTAATTCTGCATATTGAGCTAGCTCATGAGTCGGCTTGTTTATTTTAAAAAAGTGAAGATGACGTTAATTCAAAACTTATGGAGTCGCGTCCGAGCTGGCTCATAAGTCGGCTTGGCTTAGTTACACCTCTATCGAAGTCTTTTGCACCTCAATTTTCAATGAGGGTCACCATTTTCTTGCTTGTTTTAATTATAATTTAAAGAAAGTATAGATTTGTTAATGGTGGAGGGTTTGTTGAGAAATTAGGGCGAAGAAAAATAAAAATTGACACAAATCTAGAAGAACACGTAGAGATTTAACGAAGTTCGGCAAAGATGCCTACGTCATCGGGAGCAGAGCGGCGAATTTCACGATTTCATAGGAGTCCAGTTTATACCCATAGGGTTACATATCATATATATAGATAAAACCCACAGATAAAATTACTGTCACGTCCTCGCTCCCCCCAACCCACTAAATTACAAGCGACATCTCTTCAATTCCAAGTGATACTGCTTTTCATTCCAGGAGACATCTCTTCAATTCCAAGAGACACTCTTCATTCCAGGAGACATCTCTTTAATTCCAAGAGATTCCAAATTCTGTAATATTTGTCATACCTAAAAAATCTCCACCTTGGCGAATATAAGTCCCTTAGAAGAAATACATCATGAAGTTTCTTCAAAGTGGGTTGGACAACCATGCCGTCTAACAATTGCAAATATTCAACAAGTTCAAGCAATGCAAGAACTTGTTGATAGTATCTGACTTGATCAACGTATTTGTTGCATTTTTATCATATGATTCAACAAAGTGAACTCCACCTATAATTGTACTCCCCAACAGTTCATAGATATTACCTGCAGTAATCTTTCTTTTCATCACAGTCAATGCACCTTTAACAATTTTGATGGTTTTCTTTATCCTCATCTGCCTTAGAAATAAAATCATTTATGTGTAAAGTGCCCAAGAAATTAAATTCTTTTTCAAATATGGAATATGACTTACATCACATAATGTTATGAGAGTGTCATCATACATCTTAATTCTGACTTTGTCAATGCCAACAATATTGTAACATTTATCATCACCCAAATAGACTGAACTAACATGTATGAAGTAAACTATTCTCTGTTATGTGTTATGTGATAAGAGCATCCTGAATCAAGAATTCATGTATCCTTCAACTGAGTTGTTGTAACTGAAAGTGCATCACCATCACTGTAATTTGTAATGTCACTCTGCACCATATTCATGGACTTGGAAGATACATCATGTTTCTCATAAAACTGATTCTTGAGCTTTGGACATTCTCTCTTCATATGTCTCGGCTCCTTGCACTTGTAGCAATGAATCGTTTTTCTGCCTTTAGGCTTTGACCTGAAATTTCACATTCCAGAACTCTCCTCCATCCTTCCACGATTCTGATTACCCTTAGCATATAAACAACTACCATGAGAGTTTTCTCCTGCATTCTGCTTCGGCTGGTTGTGAGTAGGGGTGCAAACGAGTCGAACACGAGCACGAGCGAGCCGCTCCTACTT